ATTTTAAAAAAAGGTTTATGAATGCGTGCATGAATACTGGATATTCTTTGTAAACTTTTACTCAAATTACAATTGGGGGGAAAAAAAAGAAACACACACAAACTAAAAAAATATATTCTAGTAAGACAAATTTAGAAACATTATTTTTAAATGGCTGGTGACCAGATTTCTTCTATAAAATGGCAATAAAACTTTCATATAATGACAACACAGCTCTGCCATTCACACTGCTCTCAGTGTCATCTGAAACTAATCCAAAGCATCTGATTTCTACATATAAGAAAACACCTAAAACCAGCACCATTGTCCTGAACCATGAACCATATAGAATTCTGAAACTTACCTTTGTGGTTTATTTTTTTATATTTTTATTTATTTTGGTATACCATCAAATTGGATCTGACTGGCATGAGAGGAGCATCTGGTGAACCTTACCTTTGGATGATGAATTCTTTTGCACAATCAAAAAGGTGTCCATGCGCTATCCACTCATCTACAGTCTGTAGGTAAGGACGCACAGTTTCCACCCAGAGGGAGAACAGAAGAGAGACCTGGATATCAGAACAAGAATATCTAAGGTTTAGGAACCTTTCCAAGAATTATATAAAATGATTTTTAAACATTCACGTTGCGCACACTTTTAAATTGACGACAGTGCTCAAAAACACATTTTGCCGTCATTTGCAGCAACGTGTTAAATAACTTACAAGAAATGACTTAATTTCTAGGTTTGTTATTTTTTTAAACAAAGTAAGAAACTAATGGCCAACAGCATAAACTACACAGTCCTGTTTAAAAACATTTACCTCAACATTTGTTAAAGTCACAATTTAAAAAAAACACAACAAAACCCAAACAAAAGGATCATCTGGATCTGGGATGATCATAATGTTTGTCGTCCATACCCAGACCCTCTTTAAAGAATGAAATTATGTAGAAACAACAAGCAAAAACCAAACCAAATCCACTGCTAGCGAGCTGAGTCTGGATCATAGTGACCTTCCACTGGATTTTTACGGCTGTAAATCTTTACAGGAGGAGATTGCTTATTTGTTGGATTTGAACCACTGACCTTCTAATTAGCTGGCATGTCATGCACAGTGCCAGCAGGGTTCCTTAAAATAAGACTGTCCAGGGAATTGTTCAGGGAGATATGGATTGTTCAAGGAAACTGAGAAATAGAGTCCATTTCTATAACAAATGGAAAATTTCTATTATGAATGGAAAACTTCATTCTGTTACAGTTTCCAGTAGGAATAAAAATGCTTCCAATTTCTTTATTTTAAAGGGAAATACCAAACAGGTTTAACAAAAATTACAACAAATTCACAAGAACACCTAAGGCATATTCTCAAATCTGCAATTTTCTAGAATATAGCTGTCAGTAAGATTTTAAGAAAATAATTTTAAGAAAAGATTATTGAAGATATCTGTTCAAATCTTGTAGGTATTTTTTTTTGTTTTCATGTTTTCCTTTGCTCTTGCCTTAGGCTTTGGGTGATCTTAACAATTTGAGCTTAAAAAATTCTACAGCATCCTATTGCTCATACAAGGTTCCTATATGGATAAATACCAATTCAAAAGCTAATTTTAAAGCTCTGAACAACTGACACAATGACTGAAGTATCATTTGTACAAAGATGAGCTACCATCCCTACTTTGGCTATGCAAAATGGAGTCTGACATTTTATATTAGACAAGAGCCCCACGTACAGTTTGCTCAGAGGCTTCTCCAACACTGTCATATTCAAGAATGGCCTTGTATAGTGTGTTGAGTAGGTGAGAAGCACGAACAACATTTCGTGTGTCAGGTGGAACTTCAGCTACTCCAGTGCTAAATACTTTGTGCAGAATCTTGAGTTGAGCCAGTCGAGGTGATAATCTATCCACCACTACAGAAAGAGTTACTGTTGTATCTGGAAATAATAATAAATCAAATTTAATAGCCAAGAAAAAAATATGTGAATTGGGAAAAAAATGCTAAACCCCTTATGACAGAGAAGACGGGGTGCTGCTCTCATATGTCAGGGAGTATGAGGATGGCGGAGAAGAGGACTGGGTGCTGCTCTTGTGTGTCAAGAAGTGTGAGGATGGCCCAGGAGAGGATGGGTTGCTGTTGTAGTGTGTCAGGGAGTTTGAAGATGGCCCAGGAGAAGACAGGGTAATGCTCTCTTGTTTGAGTTTTGTTGTTGGAGAAGAGTACTGGATATTTTATGGGCAGCAAAAAGAACAAATAAACAGTCTTAGATGATAACCAGGGTGCTCTTTAGAGGCAGGGATGGTGAAACTTCATCTCACATACTTTGGGGCTGTTTTTAGGAAGTTGCTGGAAGGTTGCGTAAGAAACAAGTTACCCAAGAAGCTGCACTGCAATCCCAGAGGTGCATGGTTCAAATCCACCAGAGGCTCTGCTGGAGAAGGAGGGACAATTTCCTCCTGTACCAGTCAGATCTGATTTGATGGTACATGCACAAAAAATAATAAAAAATAATTTAAAAAAAAAAATAATAATATAAAGAAACATAACTACGCTAAATGAGGAAAATTAAGTGAATGGGGAATTGCAGCAGGAAAAATAATTTTCACTCCAGATCCTTTTTAAACATAAAAATAGTTTAAAAAGAAATTAAAAATAGCCTTTCTATGAAGATGGTGCCAAAAGCGAAGAAGAAAGCCCCTGCCCCTCCCAAAACTGAAGTCAAAGCAAAGATATTAAAGGCCAAGATGCCAGTCCTGAAGGGCATCCACGGCCAAAAAAAAAGAAGATACGCACATCACCCACCTTCTGGCGGCCTAAAATGCTGAGACTCCAAAGGCAGCCCAAATACTCCCAGAAGAGAGCCCCCAGGAGAAACAAGCTTGACCACTATGCCATCATCAAATTTTCCCTGACCACTGAGTCAGCCATGAAGAAGATAGAAGATAACAACACACTTGTGTTCATTGTGAATGTCAAGGACAACAAGCACCAAATTAAACAAGCTGTAAAGAAGCTCTATGACACTGATGTGGCTAAGTTCAACATTTTGATTAGGCCTGATGAAAAGAAGAAGGCCTATGTTAGACTTGCTCCTCACTATGATGCTTTGGATGTTGCCAACAAAATTGGGGTCATCTAAACGGAGTCCAGCTGGCTAATTCTAAACAGAAATTTTTCTCACCAAAAAAAAGAAAGAAGGAAATTAAAAACAGTATTAAATAATAAATTTGGATTAAAAAATTAATGAATCCTTAGAAAAATAAATTATACTTGGGTAATCTACACGGTCATCAAAGGAGAGGAAGACTCTCAACATTTGACAGACACAGTAACTGCAACTATGAGCTTGAACATGGTAGAGATCATGATGGTACATGATAGGGTTAAGTTTCTAATCTGTTACTCACATGGTCATAGTCAGACACAGTTGACTCAATGGATAGCACCTAACAAAAATGTGCGTTTGTTGGAAGGCTGCACAAAAAACGGGTGATCTAAAGGGAGGAAAATTAAGTGATTGGGAAATTGGAGCAGGAAAAATAATTTTCACTCCACATCCTTTTCAGACATAAAAATAGTTTAAAAAGAACTCAATATAACACTCAATAATACATTTGAATTTAAAAAAATGAGTTCATGAGAAGTACATAATTGTCATGTAACTTTTAACTCTTGCATTAATTAGGAACCTGTATATGGCATGCAGTTAATGTAATTACTCATGTGTTTTATGGCTAAAAATAAAGAACATTTACTTACCATTATTAATAATACACTTCTCAATTTCTGTAAGTTCCTTTTTGAAACTAATGAAGTATTTGTACAGGGCCCACATGAAAGCCTGGTAGGTCCTAAAGGGAGCTTCAGTTACAGAATTATTTCCAGGTAATATATTGTCTGAACTGTGCCTCATAACTTCATCAATGAACTCCTGGAGTCGAAAAACAACCTGGCCAAATTCTGCTATTTGTTCTAGTACTGACTGTAAACAATTCTATAAGAAAAACAAAATGCAATTATTTAAAATCAACCCTCTGTGAAAAAATCCATTTCCTGAACTTCACTTGTGACTGTTAAATCAAATGTTTAGCAAAATGTTTATCATGAAAAAGACCAGAATTTACTTTCTTTCAAAAGAACAGAGAAGGCAATAATTTCTACAGACTATAAAAACAAAACTTAGACTTTTCTAAATACATATAAAAATATACTATAGTTTAAAAAAATTACAGTGTATAGCTTTCTTGTGATTTTATTATCTTAAATTTTTTACTCCCAATATAGAATGGCAAAAAGAAATAGCAGAAAGTGAAAATTAAAGTATTAACTTCACAAACAAAATTAAACTATTTTCTAAATACTGTATTATTTTTAATATATTTAATAGCAAATTTTAATACTACAAAATATTTTTATTATCATGGTTTATACCTATCTTATTTATCTCATAATAGAAGTAACTTACATGTGTCAAATGAGTTACTACAATATTATTTCTCACTGTTATCTTCCCATCTACCAACTGAAATATAAAGAGTTTTTTCACTCCTGAAAGTAACCTAAGTCAATACAAAAAAAAAAGAAAGAAATGTACTTTAAAGTCTAGAAAAAGATTTATGATAGTAATACCTTAGAAATTTTAATGAAATAGAATTAGGGGGGGAAAGAAAACACAACTTTCAAAAGTTAGATAAGTAGAAAAAAAAAAGACAACAATCTTAGTATCTGATTTCCTTAAGACTCAAGATATTTTACTACCTCTTTAAGAGAGTTAGCCAAAACGAATATTCTTAAAGCATTTACACCTATAAACTGGCCAAACAGATCTCCCTCTTTCGATTTTAAGGAATATCAATATAATTGATACGGAAGCAAGCAATAAAACGTGCAAATTTCAATACTAATGGCACCACATGCTGCACTTTTCATTTTTGTGTAAATATAATTTAAGTCAGAAGGTGTCTGATTTCTGGGTAATATTCAATTAAAAGCAGTAAGCAGTAGGGTGGCATTCTGTGTCTTTTGCTTATTCTTCTCTATGGAGGAAAAAAAACCCAAACCATTAAGTAGCAATTTAGAGATGTGCTTTAAACTCAGATATTAAACATGTAGATTAATCTAGCTAAATAATAAATTATATTAAGTGGCAAAAAAGCAAAGGTATCAAAATCTCACAATTTCCATGGTCTAATGTGAAGTTGGGCTTCCTAGATTCTGATCATTCAAGTTTAAACACTTACTGCAAACTTTGTGGAGTCCCAGTGGTTAAAGAGATTGACAGTTAACAAAAAGGTTGGTATTCTTAACTAACAGGTGCTGTGGAGGAGAAAGATGGAGCAGTCTGCCCCCCATAAAGATGGACGGCTTTGGAAACCGTATGGGATGGTTCTGCTCTGCTGACTTAGTGGCATGGGTTTTGGATTTTGGTTTCAGCAACTGTTTTGGGTTCATATTTCACAGCCTGTTTCTAGTTTGCATATGAAAATTCTAAATGCTTCCCTTTAAAAAAAACAGACCATTTTTTATTTCTCAAATAATCTTCCAGACTACTAACTAGATTAAGAGGCCTTACCATAGGGTTTCCCGAATAACCTGGGTCTCGGTAACAAAAACTCTATCTTCTGGAACATATAATGAATCACTGCTATACAAGTGTTGATCCCTATTAGAGAATACGTAACAAATGTCAAGTATTTACTACAAAAAATATTTTTGTTCAAAAGTATAAAAAAAGCATTAAGATATCTATCTACATAAATGAACAACGTACACAGAGAAGGCACTGTCACATACAGAACAGTGTCCCTAAAAGTACAAGTATACAATGTGGAAGCCAACTGCATAATGACCCTGCATGATATGTGAGAAGGCTAAGGATAGAAAACAACTCTCCTAAATTTCATCACAGCCTTAACTGGATGTTGTTGTTAATGTGCCCTTGAGTTGACTACGGCATAGAGTAACGGTATGAATGACAGCTCTGAACCTTGCCCTATCCTGTGCCATCCTCACCATTTCTAACACATTTAAGCCCAATATGACAGTGCTAATTCATCTCATCCAGGGTCATCTTCTCTTTTGCCAATTATCCACCTTTTCAAATTTGATGTCCTTCTCTAGATTGGTCTCTCTTAACAGTATGATCAAAGTATGTGAGATGGAGTTTCACCAACCTTGCCTCCAAAGAATATCGTAGTTTCACTTTCTCCAGCATAGAACCATTTGTCTTCTTGACAGTCCATGGAATATTTAATACTCTTCTCCAACCCAACTTAAAGGCATTGATTTTTCTTCTGCAACTCATGTTTCGACTTCTTGACTGATGTTACCAAGAGTTTTGACTGTAGATCCAAGAAAGATGAAATCTTGGACTACACTTTAATCTTTTCTCCATCTATCATGATATTATCTATTGGCCTAGAGGGATGATTTTTGTTTTACTGATGTTCAGAGGTAATCTATACTGAAGGCTGTAGTTTTTGACCTTCTGCAGCAAGCATTTCAAGTTTTCTTCACTTTTGGAAAGCAAGGTTATGTTATCTTCATAATGAAGGTTGTTTATGAGTCTTCCACTAATTCTGATATTATACTCTCTTCTTCACAAAGTCCACTTTCTCAAATGATCTGCTCAGCATACAAACTCAATAGGTATGGAGAAAAGATACATCCTTGATGCACAACTTTCTTGATTTTGAACCATGTAAAGTTCTCTTGCAATGCTTGGACAATAGTTTCTTCATCTAGGGGTGTGGCCTGTATTACATTTTATTTCACTAGAACAAATGGGAGAGAAGTCCTCACTATCACCAAGAAAAAAGTGCTGGAAGTGGGTCATGGTCACTGCATGAGCAATCTCATTGACACCAGGACTAGATATATTAAAGAAACAAAGACTTTCCTCCAGAACCAACAGAAAGAAACTGTCATCCCTTAGAGCTGGCATGCTGAATTTGGACATCTAACTTTTTAAACAGTAAGAAAACAAATTTCTGTATGTTGAAGTCATCTACTTGTGTTACCAGCATTACATTAGCTGAAATATTCATAGAAAAGCAAATACTAATCATAAGTACAGAAAAATGTTCACAGTTGCTAGACATCAAATAAAAAAGATTTTTAATAAAAACCAGTAACTAGTTAGTGAATAAATAAAATATGTACTTGACATATTAATTTGCACAAGTCAATTAAATACTCTCAGAAAAGCACTTTCAGAACAATTCCAAAAGTCATGGTTATTTACTGTTTCGTGGTTTTATTTTTGATTGTTGTTGTTGTTATGTGCCATTGAGTCGTTTATGACTCATAGCGACCTTATGTACAACAGCCCTAAACCCTGCTCTATTCTGTGCCAATCACACTGCCTCTGACACACCCATCCCAATTACCCTAGTGACTGAATCAATCCATCTCATAGAGGATCTTCCCCTTCTGCACTGTCCCTCCACCCTCCCAAGCATGATGTCCCTCTCTAAGGACCTGTCCCTCCCTGCAACATGCCTAAAGTATGTCAGATGAAGCTCCAGAATCCTTGCCTCCAAGGAGTAGCCTGGTTTAACCCTCTCTAGGATGAATCTGTTTGTTTTCCCGGCAGTCCATGGTACATTCAATACTCTTCTCCAGCACCACAGCTCAAAGGCATCAATTCTCCTTCTGTCCTCCCTAGTCATTGTCCAACTCTCTGATGCATAACAAGTGATTGCAAAGACCATGGCCTGTATCAGGCACACCTTAGTCTCCAGAGAGACATCGCTGCTCTTGAGTACTTTAGAGAGGTCCCTAACAGTAGACATTCCCATCGTAATACACTTTTTAATTTCCTGACTGCTTGTGCCAAGAGTGTTGACTGTGGAGCCGAGCAAACTGAAGCTGTGAACAATCTCAATCTCTTCGCCATCCATCCTGATGCTACCAATTAGTCCAGTGGTGAGAATCTTTGTTTTCTTCACACTGAGCCTCAGTCCATACTGAAGGCTGCAGTCCTGGACCCTTCGCAGCAAGTGCATGAGGTCCTCCTCAGTTTCAGCAAGCAGGGTTGTATCATCTGCATAACGCAGATTGTTAATAGATTTTCCACCAATCCTGATGCCACAATTCTCCTCATAGAGCCCAGCCTCCTGGATCATCTGCTCTGCATACAGGTTGAAAAGGTATGGAGACAGGACACATCCCTGGCGTACACCCTTCCCAATTTTGAACCATGCAGTGTTACTCTGCTCTGTTCTGACAACCGCCTCTTGGTCCAAGTATAGGTTTTGCATTAGCACTATTTAGTTTTATTATTATTTATTATCATTTTATTCATATTGTGTTTCTTACACTCATTTCCATACATTTGTTTTATAAAAGCAATCACCACTTACTTATGCTATTATTCATCTTTAAGATCCCCACTGGATCTTTCCTAATTCTTTCAATCCCTCCTTCCACCCACCAGTCATGGTTATTTTTTATTCAGGCATATTTTATGTTTTAAAACTAAGCATTGCTTTCCAGAAAAAGCTTACCTAATTTTGTAGTAAGGGGTAATAAAACAAACCAAATATTATCTACTATGTAATAATTAATTTTGAAAGTCATGAAAAAAATTTCATTGTTATTAACAATAATTTGATAACTTTTCAAAAACATGGTACTTAGTTTGAACTGCAAAAAATCGAAAACAAAAAAAAAACCTCCCACCAAACATGGAAAGGTCACATTTCAGGAAAGTAGTACTGATGCAAATGAAAAATTAAAGGTTTTTTTCGCTACTCTTACAGAAAATGAAAACTGTAACTTACCAAAAAGCAGCTAGGTTGGAGTGTAAATGTAAACTATGAGGAAACCACACAAGCCTGACTGTCCAGTACTGAGCAACCACATGCTGTTCCAACCAGTTCTGGTCATCTATCTCATCTACAAGAAAGAAATTTAATAAAAAATTAAACTTTGTCACAGATGATAACTGTTAAGTGGATTCTTATTCATAGAGACCATCTATCAGATTTCTGAAGGTACACATTTTTGTGGGATAAGAATGTTTGTGTCTTTCTCCCAGGAGGCTACTAGTGAATTTGAACTATCAAACTTTCAGTTCTCAGCAAAATAAAGAATGTGTAATAGTTAGCAAAGAAAAACCTCTGCCACAACTTTGAAACAACAGCCTATTATATTTCAACTTACTACCACTGAATTGGAATCAACTCATAAACTGAAAACATACACAATGTTTAACTAAATGCCACTGCATAGAAAGTTACAAAAAAATGTATTCAATTTAAAAGTTATTCCACGCATGAAAAGACACAAATAGGATATCTGAATAGTCTTACTAATAACCAAAAGAGAAAATGAAATGGAAATCAAAGACATTCTTCAATCACTCCTAACGCTTCAGGGAAGGTACTGAACTTCTAAGGATTGTTATTGCTGTCATGTGTCATTAAGGTGGAGCCAAATTATAGACAATCTATATCTTATACAAGCTATTCCAGAAAACAGAAAAAGGGAAAGCCATCTATTTTCATAAAACCTCAATACTATAACAATGAAATGGTAAAAACATGTAATTCTTTGAAGGATAAAGAATTCTAAAACTATAAATACTTAACCCAATCAAAATAAATAATGTATTTGTAAATAAAAAGAATTTTTTAAAAACATACTACTTTTTGTGTGTGTACCATCAAAATGCATCTGACTGGTACAGGAGGAAACTGCCCCTTCTTCTCTAGCAGAGCATCTGGTGGATTTGAACCACATACCTCAGGGATTGCAGTTGCAGCTTCTTGCCATTAGGCCACCAGAGCTCCCTAAATAAAAAGAATGTCTTAAAAACCTACAATATGTTAATGGGAAAGGAACAATGCAGAAGAGGATGGTGAGAATGTTGTACAGTTTGAAGCCTATAATTAAAGTCCTTGAATTGTACATATGAAAACTGAAGAACTGGCCTACTAGATGCTGTATATATTCCCAACAATCAAGAAAATAAAACTTTAAATAACATAATGATCAAATACATTTACTTAAGGATTCAGGGATGATTCAATATCAGAAAATCTACCAGTGTAGATATTAAAAACTCAAAAACCTTGTCAATTCCTATTCATACTAACTGTATAGAGCAGTGCTGTTGTGCAGTACTGTTGAGTACAACAAGCCATAGCGACTCTATAAATAATAACAGATCTGAACCCTACCTGTCCTGTGCCTTCCTCACATACTTAAGCCCTTTGTTGCAGCCACTGTGTTAATCCAGCTGGTTAAGGTACTCAGTAGCAAGATGCTACAGTAAGTATTATTATGCTGGTTTTAGGAATGATTATCTCAGAAAAAGTGTAGTTGTTGTATGTCTCTGAGTTGGAACGAACTCAAACTGACCCTCCAGCAGATTTTCAAATGCAGTAAATCACATGGGTAGAGTCTGTCCATGCTTCTCCTGCAGAAAATATGTAGAAGACGAGAAATTGTATGAAATTGTATCAAGAGTTTCCTCAAACAGTAATATCCTCTTATTTGGCATCTTCTTTTCCTTTTATCTAGAATAATCCCTACCAAACACTCCAGAAGAAAATTTGGTTTGGTTTAAGTGAATGGCATACATGATGCTTTAGTTTTGTTACTCTGGATTTTTTAAAAAAACATTTTGTACTCATAAACCAAGAGAAGATAAAGTAGATGAACGGGACCTTCTAAGAATAAAATCCCTATGCACATCCAAAAACTTCTCTAAAAGGGTAAAAAGGGAAGCCACAGACTGGGAAAAAGTATTTGGGAATGACATGTCAGATAAGGGACTTCTATCCAGAATTTATAAAATACTTGAGTACCACAACAAGATAAAAGTAAACAACCCAACTGAAAAATGGACACAGGATATGAACAGACAGTTCACCGAAGAAGACATTCAGATGGCCAATAAGCACATGAAGAAATGTTCAAAATCCCTAGCTGTAAGAGAGATGCAAATCAAAACAACTATGAGATATCATCTCACCCCAGTCAGAATAGCAAAATTTAACAAAACAGCAAGCAACAAATGCTGTGAAGGTTGTGGAGGAACTGGAACCCTTATTCACTGTTGGTGGGAGTGTAAAATGGTGCAACCTCTGTGGAAGGCAGTATGGCGCTTTCTCAAAGAGTTGCAAATAGAGATACCATCTGACCCAGCAATTCCACTACTGGGAATATACCCCAAAGAGACTAGAACTGACATCTAAGCAGATATATGCACACCCATGTTTATTGCGGCTTTGTTCACAATAGCAAGGAGTTGGAAACAACCCAGGTGCCCATCAGCAAATGAACAGACAGAGAAGCTGTGGTATATTCGCACAATGGAATAGTACGCTGCATTGAAAAACAAGGAACTCATGAAATATTATTCAAAATGGGTGAGCCTGGAGGACATTATGCTGAGTGAAATATCTCAGTCGCAAAAGGACAAATACTGCATGGTGTCACTGCTGTAAAATGGGACTGATATCAGGGTTGGGGTAGGACTGAGAAAAACTGGATAAATTGTGTATACTGCATTGGAACAGATGAGGGAGTGAATAATTTAAAAGCAATATATGATAGGTTATTATAGTTATCACAAGAGTCCAAAATTAAGGTTGCACAGTGGAGTGTACTTGGGTGGAGGGGTGGGAGGGGTGCGGGGAGACTGTATACCAAAGAAAGAATTTTTCTTCTACTTTTCAAAGAGAGAAGCAAACTTGGGGGGGGGGGGCCGGGCAGGGAGGAAAGTGCAACAATGAATGAATGGAAATCCAAAATCTCTGTAAATGTTCATTAAAATTATTAAAATGAAATCTAAATAAAAAAATATACCTTTAGGGGGAAAAAAGTTTTGTACTCATTTCTGCTATGAAATGTCATCTCCTAATAGATTTCTATAGTTCTTTTCTTCCTACAGTTTTGGATGACCTTTCCCAAGTGTTTTCAACATATGACCAGAAATGTAAATTCTTAGTAGGAGACTGAATTGGAATGAAATGGTATGAAGCACTGAATTTTAAAGAGAAGAAAAGCTGGAATTCAAAGTCATGTGGCAAGAAAACCTTGCACATTTTGAGACAGCTCTGGTGACTTAGTAGTAAGGAGTTGTGCTGCCAACCCAAGGCAGGTGGTTCGAATCCACTAACTGCTCTATGGGAGAAAAATGGGCAAACTCCCCTTCTATGATTTATACCCTTTCACAATCTACTGTTATGAATTATTCTATTAGTTCTGACTTGATAGCATGTAACAACAACAACTATATGTTTATGGGAAATGATTCATGGGGGGAAAACTAGCAGTATATGCTTAACTCATATACTGAAGTTTACTAAAAAGCTAAATGCAAAAGAATGTAAATAGAAGGAAAACACAGGGGAATATGTCTGTATGGAAAAACCATCAAGGTTCAAATACCAACTATATCATGAAAATTCACGGATTAGGTTACAATAAAATGTAACAAAATCACAGAAGTTATCTGAAGGATACCATGATAAATGTTAACAAACGACTAAGAGAAGGAATTTACATTGTTTAAAACCCAGGAGTTAATATCTATACAAAGAACTCTTGGGGAGGTCTGGTGGCCTAGTGGTAAGAAGCAGAGCTGCTTTTTATTTACTGGGTAAACTTGCCTTCAAAAGACATTTTAAAGTACTAGAGGGTAAAGTACTCCAGGCCCAATCAATAGGATTTTCAATGTTTCTTATGCATATGCAAGTTGGACAGTGAGTAAGGAAGCCTAAAGGAAAAACTGATGTCTCTGAATTGTGGTGTTGTCAAAGAATAAACTGCCAACTTCATTTTACTTGGATACACAATCAATACCCTTGATACCAGCACTCAGGAGATCAGAAGACATATTGCACGGACAAAGCATGAAGTAAGGAACTTCTCCAAATTCTTGAGGAGCAATGTTTGAAGACTAAGGTGTGCCTTATTCAGGTCATGATCTTTTCAATCACTTGCTATGCATCTGAGAGCTGGACAATGAAGAAGGATGACAGAAGAATTGGTATCTTTGAGCTGTGGTCCTGAAGAAGAGTACAGAATATCTCATGGACTGCTACAAGAAAAAACAAAAGGCAGAGCTGCAATCTCAAAGGCACCACAGTTTGAATCCCCAAAACACTACAGTTTGAATCAACCTACTCTGTGGGAGAAGAATGAGCCATGCAATTACTGCTTCTGGAAACCTGCTGGAGGGTCAACTATAGGTTGGTTGCACACAACAACAATCAGAGTGTAGGGGGATTGAGAACTATGACTCAGAGAATCTCCTGCACTAGCCCATAATGGTCACATAAGAAAATGTGGAAAAGAATACCACATATAGAGAAAGGGCAGCCTCAGAGGATATCACAAGGGAATGAGTAAAAAAAATACAAAATATACTACTTGCAAGCTGTAGAATACTATACAGCAGTTAGGAAGAACAGATATATATATTCTCAATAGTAAGAAAATGTGGATAGAGTTAAAAATAGTTGAATGAAAAAGTTTCAAAATTTAAATAAAAAAATCTAGTTGCTGTGGAGTTGATTCTCATGTGACCCCATGTATGTGCTTAAGGTCAATGTGATAGTTAAGGCATCCATCTGGCTGGGCTATGATTTTCCGGTTTGGTAGTTACAATCTTGGGTGTTTATTTAACATTCTCACCAGATAGCTGAGTAAAATTATATAAATATTAGGTGTTTTGTTTCACCCAGGGAACTAGCCAGTTAGCTATTAATGTAAAGCAAATGGTACCTTTAGAGTGGTGGTGTTGTTATGTGCCCTCAAGTCGCTTATAACTCACAGAGACCCTATGTACAAGAGCCCTAAACCTGCTCTGTCCTGTGCCAATCTGACTGTCTCTGACACACCTACCCCCACTGTGCTAGTCACTGAATCAATCCACCTCATAG